TCCACAGACTGTTGCGTGGGATCCGGTCATACGCTTTCTCTAGGTCCACAAAACACAAGTACACCGGCTGCGCGTACCGATGAGATCTTTCATCTGCTTCGAATATTTCCTGAGTAATTTAGTTTCTACTGTTTGTTCTTTTATTTATTTTTGTTTATTTCTTGTTTGTTAATCTCCGCCTTTCTTAATGTCTTTCATTTCCTGCGCCATTGTTTTTCTTGTTTTTTATTGCTCATCTTATATTTTTTTTAAATGTTTTTATTATTTGCCTGCTTGTCTTTGTTATGTTTGATTACGATACTTTTTTTGTACAGTATTAATTTGTACTGAAGAAATACCGTTCTCGGTTCCGAAAGCTTCACTAAGTAAGTAAATTTTCCCGCACAGTCTAACTGTCTCTTTATCTGTTTTCATTAAGACCATGTTTATGCTTTTTGGAACTGAGGCTTAATATTATCAGCCGAAATTTTTCTATGCGAATAATTGTTATGACCGTCTGCGTACTCTCTGTAGTTTTTGTTTTCCATATGTAGATGAGAACTGTTAGTTGTATAAGAATATATATTGCAAATATCTTCAGAAATTCTTGTCTTGGATGTAAAAATGCGAATTATAAGTTCTCATGGCTGTTCTCGGCTGTGATGTTTAATAAGTTAATCGATGGTACTTTAATCGACCAACATTGTGCTGTTAGAAGTAGTTCGTTTTTTAAAAGAATTTATATTAATGATTATGTAAGTAGCTTAGTTCAGATTCAAGGCATACGCTCACTCTAGAATCCAAAGCAAGATTCGCCGCGATCTTTCATCTCAAGTGAGCCATCTGTGGGTTATGGACATCATACCCAGACAAGACGATGCCGGGATAGAAGGTCAGATAAACTGCTTGTGCGGAGGAAGCTATATTGGACCACCCTGCAAGAAACTGAAGAGTCGGATCAGGGAATACCGCTTTTCTGTAGAGAGCAGATAGAAAGGGCTCATTCGTTGCGGAGTAAACCGTTTTCAAGTACCACGTCATACCATGCGATGCAAACAGCATCGTCTGCAAGGATGCTAGCTGACGGGAAAGAAAGATTTTAGACTCAGTCGCCATGGAATAGACAAAAAACAAGATAAACAGGCAAGAAGAAACATAAGATATGTGTTCAGTATGGCTTGCACTGTTAAATGATTAAATTGTCAATAAACACATTTTTTAAAACTCTCCCGCGAACATATTTTTTGAATTCTTCGAACTCAACACGCTCATACAACCTTGCTCACTCAGATTCGATGTTCGTTTATTCCTTTTAGTCGCAGAGGTAGACGCGTCAGTGTTTCCAACATCCCCGATGTTGTGTTAGTGTTTGAGCTTTCGCAGAAAATAAATCGAGTCTTAAGCTGAATTTTTCTATGCACTTGACCCAAGTTATTCTTGGCCTTGCCACTTTGCTGGCCATGCTCATACTTAGCAATAAGTAATATGTCATTATGCATGATGAAGTATGAAAGCGTTGCTCTAATACCAAAAATATTCCAGAAGCACTAAGCAGAGCTCGATCTTCCTAGGTTCCTTTTGAAAACTTTTTTTTGAAGAATCACAGATATTTTGGATGATAGCATGTTTTTATACTTCCTCCGAACATGTTCGGTATTGAATATCGTAAATTTTTTCTGTTTTAAAGTTTCCTATCGTTTTTTAGGTTGCTGAAATATTTTCGTCATTCGAAACCCAACCGATTGGTTCAGCATCTTTGTCTCAGGTTCATAAAGCTACATTAAATAATGGCATGGTCGTGGCAGTAAAGGTGCAGCATCGTCTAGTGAAGCGCAACAGCAATGTGGACATCGCCACTATGGACGTACAGTTAATCTTCCATCGCTAACTAATCGATGCGAGGCTAAGCTGTGTTTTAGGCATTGACTCGAGTCATCAAACGTGTATTTCCTGATTTCAAGTTCATGTGGCTTGCCGAAGAAATGAAGAAAAATCTGCCCCTTGAATTGGACTTTGTGCATGAAGGTCACAATGCAGACCGTGCCCGCCGAATGCTGTCTCATTTCAAATTTCTGAAGGTAAAATATCGATGAAACCTACTGTAGATTAATCCAATTAAATTTCTGATGCCTGTTGAAGCAGCGTAAACACCGTCTCTTTGCTTCTAGTCCCCTAGGAAACTATTTAAGCAGGCCACGGCTCCATGGTATTTGAGTACCTGGAGTGCACTCATGCATAACCGCATCACTAGGCAGGGCTGCACAAAAGGCCTGTTCGAACACCTGCAAATATGCCGTTATAGGATGGAGCTATGGCCTGCTTAAATGGTCCCCTAGGCGACTAGAGGTAAGGGGACGGTGCTTACGCAGCTTCAGTCAAGTATCGAAAACTAAAAGGGATTAAATATCTCAACGGTGGTATCGATAACTAACTGGTTTTTTGTCTACTGGCGTCTTATGACCTGCTTTAATCATTAAGATACCGGAGATTGTGTGGAAGCTCTCTAGCGACCGGGTGCTTGTAATGGAATTCTGTGAGGGCGGTCAGGTGAACGACATCGCGTACATGAGGAATCACAACATATCGGCTCCCGAGGTACAGTGTAAATTTTTTACGCTTATGAAGTCATAAATGGGGGATATTTTACAGGTGTGCAAAAGGTTGGGCCAGATATACAGCGAGATGATCTTTGTTCATGGATACGTTCATTGTGATCCACATCCCGGCAATATGTTGGTGTTCAAGCACCCTCAGCGAGGTGCCGAAATCGTGCTACTCGACCATGGACTGTACACGGTACTGAACCGCTTTTTTTCTGTCGACTTCATTAGAATAATTTTTGCAGGTTCTTGACGAGAATTTTAGGATGCAATATGCTAATCTATGGCTCGGTTTACTCAGTCGTGATCTCGAACGCATTCAGTACTACTCCAGGTGCTTGGGCGTAGGCGATCTCTATCGGCTCTTCGCATGCATGGTAACGACACGTAGTTGGGACTCGATAACTACAGGAATTGATAAACAACCTGTGACCGAAGATGAGGTAACGTTCATTCAGGGTTACATTCACTCTCAGTGTGGATTAATCAGTGCGATGACTGTGCAGTACGGTAGTGTCTTGTCCTTTTAACGAGCCAGAATCTTACGGAAGATGTGGTGCTAGAAGCAACTTGCTTCATTTTTTCAGACGCTATTGTTCTCACCAGTTCCATGTGACGTCTTAGTTGATATTAGGTGCTGCGTATCTTTAGTATGATGATTTAGATGGGTGATCGTTATTTAAGCCTTTTGCGTTTCCCTGTGGTTTAATTTAGACTACTCGGAATTATAAATTTAGGTAATATACGCAATTGATATGCTCTCTTTACCGCTTAAACTCGTGTATAGCATATGGAAACGTCATTCAGTGGTCCAAAGACAAATGGCGTGATTCTTGCCATTATGAAGCTATCGTAGACAGTGGCCTTCATTACTTCCAGAAGGATTTGCGTTCGGATCATTTCGCGGTAAAATTCGTAATTCGCTGTCGAATCTTCGTTATTTTTTTTGCAGTTAAAGTGTGCGGACAGCAAGTGGCCCTGCCGCAGTTCTTTAAACTTGTTTCTGTTTCTTCCTACCGCGTTTTATGCCCTGTGTCTAGTGAACGAAGCTCTTTTTTGTATAGTGTCTACTCCATGCTTCACCCTTCGTTTCCACCTCTCTGTTTTCACTGCGCATGATACAATTCACCCATTTCCTGCGTGGGACATTTAGTATTGTTCTGCTTTGAGGTTGTCTTTCGTCACTATGCATATCACCATTGCAAAGTTTTTCTCAAGTTTGGCCCGTGGTGAAAAGGACACGAATAATAAGTATTTTCTTTTGCCGTCTATACTGCTGTTAATAATTATATCTTCATGGGCATTAGTTCCCGCCATCAGCTTTTTTCACCTGCTCCATTGTGTTTTTCTGTATAGTGTGTCATGAGCTTTCTGCGATTCTGGGAAGTCTATGTAAATGTACCTTTCGTGCTCAATACGTTTTATCCTCTTATCGCATTACAAATATGGCATCTACCGCTGACTGATCTGGCATAGAGCCAAACTGGTTTTCAGATTCGTTTATCTGTTTAATTAGCCCTTATCCAACACATTCATATTATTTCCCCGTATGATTAAGAAGATTGAAACGCGTCAGCAATAAAGTGTTTTACCATCTGCGATGTTTGGTACCCTGAACCATAAATCGTTGATACACTTACCTTTATAACTGTCGGCCCAGAATCGGATGCCTGAAGTAATATTTAAACTGTAGTATTTAAATTTTTGCAATATGGTTCCTTTTTTATGTTTTCTTTTTAATTTGTACACTTTTCATTTTGTGACGGGTAGATTGTTTTCAGTTATCTGTTTTTTCTTACTTTGCTTAAAATGGAATTTTTTTTGCGGTTCTGTTCAAGTAAGAATAATGGTTTATTTTAAGAACATGAAAATCGCGTCTGAAGTCGGCAACTACCTGAAAGAAATCACAGAAATTTTGAATGGTGTTTCTCGTCCGATGCTGATGATCTTAAAAACCAATGACCTACTACGGAACATCGAACGCTCGTTGTGCGTTGGCGGAAGCGCCTACTCTTTTACGCAGATGTCATTGTGCTGTGCTGCCGCCGTCCGAGATTACAACGTCCATAGGGCTGATAGCTGCAACCGTTATTTTCTTTCACAGCTGTCTTATTTTGGCCAAATTCTCCGAATTTACATTTATGAGCTGATTTCAAGTGTTTCGATTTATTTTCATAATGTTATGCCTGGGTTAAAGAAGTTGCCAGTCTCTTAGCATTGTACAATAAGTACAGTGCATTTTGAACTGTCCCCTGAAGGTAGATCCAGCTAGATTTGAAATATCTGGCCTTGGTTTAATGCAGAATAAACCATTTGAAGATTTTAGCAGTACAGAATTTGGTTTGTTTTAAGTTAGGAGGCACAGAAAATCAAAAGCAAAATTCAAGGCCCAATCTGTGTTGGATGCAAATACCAGTACAAATTTCTTGAAGTTTCCAATTTCTACGGTATGCCACATTCTCACAGAGTATTCAAAATTTGTTTCACGTTAAACCCCCAAATGAAACTCCTCAAGCAGGCAGGATTTTTGTTTCCACAGCTAGTTGCACAAAAGAGGGCTTTTGTTTTACCAACGTAGAATCTGAAAACTTCTTGGCATTATGTCATTCACAGCACAAGTTGTAAAAATTGCTTATATAATTTCTGAAGTCCATACTAGATTCTTCACGTAATTTATGAGAAGCGCGCAAACAAATCGATGTGTAGCTTCAAAGAGACCGATAAGTTAAACTGAAGGACGATAGTAACCATTTCAAATGCATTAGCAAAAAGTGTAATATTTTGGGCGTGTCACAAAGAAGAATGATTACAGTCTGGAGAGTCTTGAAGAATGTGGGCAGAGTAGGAAACAGAAATATTGATTCAAGTCTGATCGTAGTATAAAATTTTTTATCATACATCAGAAAAGTTAATTCAAAGATTCGATTGCTTGTCTAGTTGGAAACGACGATCCAACAGTGAAAAATGATCAAGAACTCTCACAGACTAAACGCGGCGATGGTCATAGTGAAACCGTAGAATCTGTCGTTGCAAGATAAGTTTTCTTTAGAGATTAATATTCATATTCTACATGTGGATTGTGGACGGTTCTTTGCGTTCACCCCGAAAGAAGCTAGAAGAATAGTTTCTGCCATTGGACAATGCTTCTCTGTTGCAATTCTGTGGAGGCCATTTTCAGACATCATTTTGGTGAAGTTTATGAAATGACCCTGATTTCTATTTTGAGATCACAACTTCGCTTTTCGACAGTGGTGTAGACAAGTCTCTGTTATATGGTTAGCATGAACGGTAAACTCCGGTTGCCCGTTCAGATGTATCAGCACTGTCTTGTCTTCCTCAGAAGGCAAGGAGGCAGGTGAATCAGACCGTGATTTGAACTCACCAATTTTTGACTGTCAGTTGCTCTTTCTGAGAACTACCTTACATTGTTGGCGTTTGCAGAAGTGCTTCGGTTGCGGCATTCCCAGTTTTGCATAGGCTTACGGTAAATCAGCCGTAGTAGCGTGCTAGAAAGCAATCATTCTATCCTGACTTGCATAAGATCTCAGCAATCATTCCAGCCTCCTGATATGTCGCGTTTTTGTTCATAATGGGAAGTTCTTTAGCTGAAGTATGTATACTCAAAACTAGTCGTTCTAAAGTTGTTAACGTCAAAATCTTTATTTTTACGAGGCATATCAGTCAGTACCTTGTGATAAACAGCATGTTTTCTACTGTTCACTTCTTCCTGATGCCAGCACTACTGTGTACTCAACCGTTTCCTCAAAATCACGATCTCCATGAACACAGGGACCTGACTGAACTGAGGAAAAAGCGGTGTTCCATTGTCAGCTTGAATATCAGGCAGGCTAAGAAGAGCACTTGAATGAAGAATAACCTCAGCCGTAAATGCGTGTTATCCTGAACACCTCTACAGTTCCACACTCTGGGTGTGCCACAAAGTTTGTAATTTCAACTCTCATTGATTAAGAAAATTTTCATGTACTGTCGCATCTATCAGCAATAAGGTTGCAAACCTGTTTTCGTATTGCTCATCAGACGATTTATTGCCATTTGGATGCTCAATATAAAATAACATTGACTTCATTAAATAGCATTGGATTATTCGCTGCAGTTGAAACTACAGAAATATATATTTATAAACGATGCTCAGATGTTGACCGATTCCAAACTTGTCGAAACTGTGAATTCTTGTAAATTAAACTCTTCCTGTTTCTCGTACTGCCAACCATGAAAGGAGAATACTTC